GCTTGATTGATTAGAGGGGAATAAAAGTTGGGGGCAAAAATTGTGATTTAATATTCATGGTGGCGCTGGATCGTAAAATAGAAGTTTTGCCTTCATCAATATTTATAGATCCTTTTGAGGCTTATTAGAACCTGTCATTATCAGATCCTGTTTTACAATCCAACTGTGAGGCAAAATGCAACGATATGGTGAAACTCTCTTCAACCAAAAAAAATTGAAGGGACAAAGATAATCTCTGTTATATATAGAGCAGTTTCTTAATTTAGAACGAAGATTTTTCGATCACCTTAGCGGGTCATTGATGAATAAGTAACACTACGCTGATGAAGGACAACAGCACGAAACGCGTAAATGGTTCGGATTTTCTTAATGAAACACTCCATGGTTTTGCATGTCATCCTTGCGCAGGGGTCATGCTAATATTCACTCTCAGCATCCTTACAATTTAGGTACATATACTGCCGAAAAAGCGTCATGCATCAAAAAAATTATTTGACCAATATTCCAAAGAAAAAAATGAAATAAATGTTTAGCTAATATTTATTCCGATAGTGGAGAATAGGTTGAGGTCGTATCGGCTCCAAGGCCTCTAATGATTCGCTTTACCGGATGAGACCGATTTAATGAGCACCAGCTATCCTGAGGGGAACTACGGAGGGAACCAGCTACTAGATGGTATTATTCAGATAGATGGTGAATCGAAATCTAATGTTGATTTAACGGTATGTTGCAATCAAGGATTATTAGAACAAATCGGTATTTAGGTAAACAATACCTCTCAATCCTCAACTTTTTATTTAATCAAATAAAATATGATCCTATAGTTTGTTTATTTCCTGTATCATTGTTCTGTAAGTTTAAACAACCAGACAGCGTATCTCTCTGTGTAGTTTGGGAAACATCATTCTTTAAATACATATTTCTACCATTCACATATTGGTCTGATATAGGGATTTTTGTTCCGCGGAGAGTAGTATAGCGTCCATCTTTTGTTTTGTATTTTATAGTGATAAAAGAAATCGAGAATAAATCGTTTGAAAATGATTTTTTATCCTTCTTTTTAAATCAAAGCAAAATCCGCTTATAGTTAATATAAATTAGCTAATAGTATTTAAATGAATAATTTTTCTTTGTTTTTATAAAATAGAGATCGGAATTTTAAATATTTTTGTTTGATTCTGTCAAGAAGAATGGTCTTGAGCACGCGACCATTCGAGCTGACGAGCGCTAAGAAGAAACAGCGCTATTGACTTGTGGGAGCAAACAGCGACATGTGTAAATAGGACGTGTGCAAATCTCATCTTGGTGCTCTTCCTGTAGGAATTTCGGACAAGGTTTTATTCTCTCTTCTCTATTAACTGCACGCGCAAGAGCTATACAGCTTTTGAATTTATATCGTTTAATATTTATACTGTTTATACTGTTTAGTTTTCATTAAGAAGTGTTAATTGTAATTTAAAATTTTAAATGTGTGTTGTGAATGAAGAGACATATGTTAAAAAGGTTAAGCAGTTTAGGCATTATACTCTAAATGTACTTTTAAAAGTTGGGAAAGGTTTTGATCAACATACAACCAAGTTTGAACATAGGTATGTTAAGCTACGATCATGTTGCGAAACATGACAGGTTAAATAATGTCACAGAGAGTTATATTTTGGTTAGGCCACGATCTAAGGCGGAAATGACAAGGAGTAACCGACAAGAAAACTTGGCTTTGAGTGATGAAAGAATGTAATTTGATTATATGGACAATTGCCGACATGTGCCATCACACGGCTGTGATACATACATAACCCAAACGGAACAACACATACAGTAACGAGATGAATCAAAAATAATTTTAAAAAATCTAGAATACTCCCAACAGATAACTACATGAGGTTTTCAACGTACTGGATCTAACTATTAAAAAAAACGCTTGTTCGGCGGTACAACTACTACAATAGGAACGATACAGAGAAGATTAACATGGCCCCTGCGCAAAAATGACACGCAAAATCGTGAAGCGTTGTAACTAGATGGACCGTGGACGAACATACCTGGGAAGGAGAGCCGGCCTGCGTGCCCCCGGCATTGTGGCTGCCATTGGTTGTCACAGGTCAGCCTAATCTCTCTCCCTTCCCTTTTGGTGGCTCTCACAGAGCCGTTTTGAACAACCCCGAAATGTATTACTTGTGTGTCTTTTTATTTAAACCCTTCCTTTTTCTAGGTAAAGATACAACGATAAATACGATCAGGTGACAAACTATGGTTTTTCATTGAGAAATAAACCTTCACATATAGATTTTTTTATATTATCGCGATATTGAATTAGAGTTTTATTAATCAATTGATAAACTTTGTGAGTGATGTTTCCCTCACAACAAAACTAGAAACAAGAAAATGAAAAAGCAGTTATTATATTTACATACCTTACTTATATAACATTGAACATAAAAATTATTTACATATTTACTAATAGAAACATTTCATTCACATTTGATTTACATAAACCTATTACGTGACAATATTTAAAAACAAAAAAGCATATACTGACCGCTGGCTTTATTTCTTATATTTCTTGCTATTGAAATAAATAATTGTATGCAATGTATATGAATATTAATAAATAATAAGTAGAACATTTCCTCAATGCCTAATTCATCGTCCAATACAATATTAGAGCTCTAAGAGACGGTCTAAATTGGCGAAACCGCTGGGAGGGTTCACCACTGATGAGCTAAGCCTTCCCAATGTTTTTTCATCGCAGTGGGGAAAGTAGAAGTTTGATTTTTTGTAAAAAAAGAAATATTCGTGCTTTAAATATTTTCATTTCATATGTATAGTCGACGCTTTATATTAACTTATACCTAATCCAGTGTATAAAAGGACCAAAATACTTAGAATATACTGAGCATATAAAGGATATATTTAACTATAATCTATTAACAAACCATATCGTATGTAGTCCAAATAAAGTAAGGAAATCAGAATGATGCCACGAAGAGAAAAAAGAACACCACCACCATCGCTGCCAATTAGGGCCACAGGACCCTCTTATCTCCAGAGAATGTATTTATTTGGCTGTGCGGCAGCTTTATCATCAAACGGTGATAGCTGCAACGCCAGAAAAATAAATAAAAATATTCCCTAGGTTCGCCTCTAGGAGGCGTTTTATGAGCCTTGTAGTTTCCATAACGAGATGTGGACAGTTAACCGCTATATTGCTATACTATGTAGCATCAAACACCCATAGCACTATGACAAGTCCATGGTTTGTTCATAGTCGTCGATATAATTTCACAAAGCTGCATCAAGATTTTGGAGGGTTCACCACTGATAGCCAGGGGCCCTCCTATTATTTTATCATTGCAGTAAAGGCAGATGAAAATTGATTTATTCTAAAAAGAAAAACATACGCGTCAAAAATAGTTTAATTATATTTTATATTTATAAATTTTATGTATTTAAGTTTATTTATCTATATAATATCCTCATTTAATCTTATTTTTGTTTATATTTAATACTAGCGGATGTACCCGGCTTCGCCCAGGTTTTTCTCGAGGGATTGTTTGTAGTCTAGTAATAAGAAAATATACTACACCTAAAAACTATCAGAGAAAAGAGAAACCACGGAAGGTGAACAGAAAAATGCTTACAATGGATGTTATGTTTACGATATCAAGTTAAATAAAAACAAAGATAAAATTTGCATATGTTGGTCACTATATATTTGTTAGGCGAAATTAGAAACATGATAAAACAATTGGGTATTTAAAAACAAATGTAGAAATAAAAGTTGAAGTATAATAAACAATGTTAAAGATTAGTTTTAATTATTAATCAAGATTGTGTGTGAATATGTGAGAAAGATGTAATATCGTTGTTGTTTTCTTGGCCGACTGTTTTACATATGGTGTTATCTTAAAATTGCTTGTTTTCAATATTTTTTAGATTGAGATTATTAGCTAGTATGTAAAAAATTAACTCTGTTGAAATTTAATTTTGTATTTATATATAAATAAAATTAACTCTGTTGATTTTTTTTTTTTTGTATTTAATCGATAACAGCGAAGTTACGCATGTTAATGTTAGGAAATATATTTTGATGTTAAGCAAAACCTGCTCCATCTCGTTTTACATAAATGTTGAAAATTTGGTTGAAATCGATGCATTGTAACGAAAGTTTTTAGTGATGTCCACTTATGAAATTTCCATTTTATTAATATATAGATAAGATATTATATAATAAATAAGAGATTCTTCCTAGAAAGGTATACTATAATCTATAAATAAAAGAAGACAAGTTTCTTGAACGTTTTTAAATCGTTCAAGAAACTTGTCTTCTTTTATTTATAGATTATAGTATAAGATATTATATATAATAATAATCTTTGATGTCGTGCTTTACAAAGTGTGTCACTCAAAGCTATTTATTTAGAAGAGAGAAACACATTTAGAATATCACAGAGTAACAATTCCTAGTCTCTGTTGCACGGGGAATTACTATTTGATACTTGAGGAGCTCTAATCTGTTAACCCTACTGCAGTAAAGAGAAATGAAACCACAAGTAGAGAAGTGACTGCCGGACACAATATTGAGTGAAATTTCGCTATTCTGGGGTCAGAAACGAACACAAAGTTGCTATCGTTATAGCCCGGCAACCAAAAGACAATTTATAATTGTCACTTTGAAATAATAGCGTTATAAGCAGCATTACGTTTTGTCAAAGTTATAATTAAAAATAAAGAAGGCATCTCCTGACCACGAGCACATGTTCTTTTTACATTATAAATGACTGCGGCGTATGATTATAAAGCAATACTTAAAGTTTAACCGCATAAGTTTCTTTTATTTGTGAAAATCAATTTTAATTTCAAAGAGAAATATCTAATATTTCTAACTTTTTGGATGACGTATGAAAAGGTTGAATATATGAAGAGTGATGGTCTATATATGATTAGATGACGTATGGAAGGGTGAAAATATGAAGAGTAATGGCGAACGGAAAAATAAAAGTGCCCAGGGGCGGGAATCGAACCCACAACCTTCTGCTTACCGGGCAGGTGCCATGTCCACTAGGCTACCCTGGACGTATTTCTCCATCTAGTTATAATTGTGTGTAGAGGATATATCATTCAATGAATATCCTCTCCTATATATATATTATAAAGTTTTAAAATATACTCTAGACATGCGCACAGTTGAACATTAAATAATGTATTTGTAAGTATGAAATTATGAACTTTACCTATTACAAAATTTATACGCATTTAACAAAGGCCACGCTTTTTCGTTAAGAAAAAAAAAAACATTTACAAAAAATAAACTCTTAAAATATTCGCTTAGTTATATACCTAGAAAGGTGAAATCAATTCGCTGATTTTTTTTTTTTTAGTAAAATATTTTTGTGAGAGAACTTTTTATATTCAAAATGTAGAAAATATGTGAAAAAGAGGTTACAAGGTATGTAACAGGAAGCTGTGAAAAGTCCAATAAAACACTCACAGAATAAATAAGAACATTCAGCAAGTAATTCTCTATTCCAATCAAGGCGGAGTTAATTGACCACAATCAATACTGAAGCAACAAAAATAGATAAATTATTTGATTTGAATCCGATTTTTTAGGGAGACAAAAGAATTTGCATTTCTAACGAGCTTAATTTGTTTCATTTTTTTTCTCCCACAATTTTTAAAAATTTTCAAAATTCAAGTGATTGTTTAATTGAGGAAAAAAATCAATGTTATAATTTATGGGCGAATGATTATTGGATCATCAAAAGAATGGTATAGGATAAATGTATTTTTCCAAGTACTCCTCAACATGTGTATAATGCAATGTGCATGTGTACGGGGAGGCAATGTTTGAAAGTGTCCCCTCACTATCATCCCCAGCTGAGCTCTTTAAAAACACTAATTATAAATCCGCATGATATACAAATCTATTCAATCCCAAATTCTATGGATTCAAAAGACATACAACCATTACAATTCATAAGAAAAATATAAAGTTGGTGTAAATATTAATATTTAAAAGATGTTACTTAATGATTTTAAAACTAAGTATAGGGGGGATGGGGGAGTCCGACCACACCTCCTTGCAGTCCCCCCTGGACCTTTGGAATATCTGACCAAATTCTGGTTCGTTTCCAAGGTGACTAATGTGGCAACGTCACCCATTTTCCAATGAAGAGCAAAACGATAGAGGACATTGCTGCTGCTGTGATAGAGATGCATGGAGACATCTGAGGCTCTTCATTGGACACGACAACAACAACAATACAGTATCCACACCCAAGATAGTGGACATTGCGACTGATGTGATAGAGATGCATGGGGACATCTGAGGCTCTTCATTGGACACGACAACAACAACAATACAGTATCCACACCCAAGATAGTGGACATTGCGACTGATGTGATAGAGATGGATGGAGACATCTGAGGCTCTTCATTGGACACGACAACAACAACAATACAGTATCCACACCCAAGATAGTGGACATTGCGACTGATGTGATAGAGATGCATGGGGACATCTGAGGCTCTTCATTGGACACGACAACAACAACAATACAGTATTCACATCCAAGATAGTGGACATTGCTGCTGCTGTGATAGAGATGCATGGGGACATCTGAGGCTCTTCATTGGACACGACAACAACAACAATACAGTATTCACACCCCAAGATAGTGGAAATTGCGACTGCTGTAATAGAGATGCATGGGGACATCTGAGGCTCTTCATTGGACACGACAACAACAACAATACAGTATCCACACCCAAGATAGTGGACATTGCGACTGATGTGATAGAGATGCATGGGGACATCTGAGGCTCTTCATTGGACACGACAACAACAAAAATACAGTATTCACACCCAAGATAGTGGACATTGCTTCTGCTGTGATAGAGATGTATGGAGACATCTGAGGCTCTTCATTGGACACGACAACAATAACAACAAACAGCAAGACAAACGGCCATTATATTAAGAATTTAATCTGTCCTGTGGGTGCTCATTTTGTGTACAATAAGATGAAAGCTATCATATAACACATATTAAAAATGTATAAAAGGTTTTTATTTGGATTTTTTTAGGAGAAAATTGTGATACTATGTTGTAAGATTATAAACTCAAAAAGAGCTTCTTCTATAAAACAAGTTTATTTCGCTAGATTTCGAACGACATCGTTCTTCAACGGGCGTAAAGACAAGGTGTGATGTGATGCAATTATATAGACGTACATTGAGAGCCAAGATATATACACATTTATAACTCAGGTAGAATTAGAAATTGAGAAATAAATTAGTTATGTGATATTATCTTTGTTCGCCTATAGCGTATAGAAATAGATTTTATACAAGATTAGGTGTTTTTTTTTTTTTGCTTATCCCTAGTACACGTGGTACACGCCATGATAATCATGGTGGGTAGAAGTAGGCGACTGCTTTTACTGTAAGTGCACCACATGTCTATACATGTGAAAAGCAGTTCGACTTTGCACTTACAAATGTGCCAGAGCCCCGTTTGGTTACTTGCACTCGCTGGTGGGGTTGAAATTTTGCAAGAATCGGGGGCCATTGGAGCATTTTTTTTAAACATAAAAAACTGCCCAATGCGGGAATCGAACCCGGGTCGTAGCGGTCGAAAACCAACGGTTTAGACATTCCTTCCACCGACCCCCTTTTTTTCGCCCAGATTAGGTGTTTTAGACAGTAGCGTTGATAATATTCCACTACAAATTTGAAAATTTAAGTGATTCAATAAAAAGTGTGGGTAAAAAAAGGATTTGTGTTTATTTTCCAACACACCTCTCGACATGAGAGATGGAGCCACCTTGAGCAAACAAAGTCTACCTACATCCTGACCACTAGAGTGTGAATGGCCTGATCTCGGATTGGCTGGCTCTTCTATATTTATAGGTTTATCTATTGGGAAACTGCAGACACATGAGGCAATCCTCGCTATCTTTATTTCAAACCAGAAGGCCATCTTTTAGGAAATAACAAACGTATCGAGCACCACACCACACCTAGAGAGAGAGAGAGACTGGAGGAGAGAGAGAGAGAGAGAGAACGCTTCACGATTTTGCGTGTCATTCTTGCGCAGGGGCCATGCTAATCTTCTCTGTATCGTTCCAATTTTAGTATATGTACCGCCGAACAAGCGTGTAGAGAGAGAGAGAGAGAGAGAGTCCAGAGTCTTCAATTATAGTGAATAGTGAATCTTTATATTTTGATTATTCCTCAATTTTAATACAGATTTCTATCTTCCAATGCATAGTTTATTTAGTACACATACCTTTATTAAATTCTTTGTTTAAGGCTATTTTTTTCAATAGATATCTGAAAGGACAAAAATATATTTTCTTTTTATATATTTATATTTAAATATATAATCAAAATATCATTTATCCAATATATGTCTTTTTATTTAAAGATTTATTTATGAATTGCTCTATTTTCAAAATATGGTTATATAGAGATAGAAATTTTGCCGGGAGGAAATTTATCTATGAAACCATGTTCTCTAGGTAGACGCTTCTCAGTTTGCCAAAGCTGATGTTGTGACTTTGTCACCAACCCGAGACCGCTAGTTTGCGGCGACGGTCAATAGATGGCGGTCTAGTTTTGACGTTTATTTTGACGGGAGAGGCGCCCTATGCTTATATGCCTGTTTCCTGATATTTGGCCAACCCAATTTCTTGATAAATTGGGTTGGCCAAATATCAGGGAACAGGCTAAATCAATGTTTAGTAGATTTCTGTTCCACCGGATGGCGCTCTGCCTTCTTAAAACACATGTGTTCATGGTCAGGATATGCCATTTTTATTTTTAATATATACATATAAAGCATGATCATATTTAATTCATTAGCTTGTAACTTTAATTGATATACATCGTCTTTTAATTTATTGACCCGTTGGTTGGTTCTCCCCATTTCTCTTATGTTAAAGATGCATGTTTCGATGGAAATTTTACCGAGAAGATATTGAGAGATCTATATTATGATGCATTAGCGCGCCATCCGTTATGAAAATTCGACACTATTATAGACGCGTATGATTCTTTTAAAAATAAAACAATTTCTACTGCCCTTACTGCAATGGAAAAATTATATTGATATTGAACTATAAAAAAGGTTCCCTCTACCGTTAACATGGACGTTAAAACTAAGCGTCATTTATTGACCGACTGAAAACTGACAGACAATGGTCAGTTACGACAACAGTTTTGGAAAATGTCAGAACATCTACCTGGAGGCTATGTCCCGTAAGGTCAGGGAGAGCGTATGATATCTACAAGGGATTCGTGAAGTCTTTGAGAATTTTCCAAAGAGGTGTTTAGCTGGCAAAGTAGCTAGACCAATTCTATGGCCACAATTACGATGTAAATTTTGATTCCAAGATACACATGTATAAACAAGTTTAGCTTACCCATAGACGTCACATACCCGACGGTCTCTAGTATAAATATACTAGCCGAATGACCCGGGCAACGCCCGTGTTTTACCCGATTGAATGTTTTGATTCAAATACTATTTGTTACAATTATAATTTGGCGCCTTAATTAATTGCATATGTTAGTTAATAACTATAGCCTATGTGCTTTATTAGTCTATGTACTGTTGGCTTCCGTAGGCGTCTCTTACTGGGAAAAAGAAAGAGAGGATTCCATTTGGTTATTAACTAATATATGCATTTATTTAAGGAGCGACCCGCTCCAACACATTAGTTACAAAAATTGGGGGGGGGGGGGGGGCAAAGGTGGCGTGATCGTAGCCGACCAATAGGAGGGCGCCATTCCAAAAAAAAAAAGTAAACCGTGACAGAGGCGACGAAGAATGACGCTCGTAACTGTATATAGAATAGTTTTAAATTAAGGAATATAGATGCAATACACTGTCGACACGTGTAGACGTGTGGTACAGGGGGATTCTATGGCCAGAACTAGCTGTACTTGAGATAATTGGGTTTAAAAAGGATTCATTCAAGTTATTATACGAAGCTAGACGTTAGATTTGCTTTTGTCTATAAAAATAAATGTCAATTAGAATAGATAAGTGTGTTTTGTTAGAGACACAA